CGCCCCTTCTGCTGAGCCGCTCTGTCCCCCCCACCCCTCCCCCAGCCCTTCCTCACAGAAGAGGCAGGGTCATCTCATCCAAAGAGAAATCAGACCACATCTCTCCAGATTAAAACCTTCCAGACTGTGCACTCACGTTCATAGCTGCGTTGTTCACAATAGCTAAAATGCGGACACAGCCCAAGTGTCCATCGACCGATGAACGGATGGCAAAATGTGGTCTGCACGTACAATGGAACATTATTCAGCCTTCAAAGGGAAAGAAATTCTGCAATATGTTCCACGGATGAACTTGAGGACATTGTGCCAAGTGAAATGAGCCCGTCAGAAAGACCAGTACCGTGGGATTGCACATACATGAGGCAGTTAGGAATCAAAATCACAGAGACAGATACCCAAATGGGGACTGCCAGGGCCTGGGGACGCAGAGGGAGTTAGTGTCTAATGGGGACAGTTTCAGTTTTGTAAGACGAAAAGAGCTACAGGGATGGCTGGTGGGGACGGCTGCGAAACAACGCGAATAGATTTAATGCACTCAACCGTGCACTTGAAAGTGATGAAGATGGTAAATTTTGTATTATGTATATTTTAACACATTTTTAAAAAGCATTAAAAAGGGGCTTCTGAGTGGCTCAGTCGATTAAGTGTTTGACTCTTGATTTCAGCTCAGGTCATGAGCTCACGTTTCTTGAGATCGAGCCCTGCTTCAGGCTCATCTCGAAGGCTGGTTGGGATTCTCTCTCTCTTCCCCTCTCCCCCTGGCCCTACCCCCCTCAAAATAAATAAATAAACTTTTTTTTAATAATAAAAATTTAAAACATTAAAAAAAAAAAGAAACCTCTTCCAGAGCTTCCCAGGACTCTGAGCATACAGACCTTGGCAGGGGGCCCCTGCAAGGGGCCCACCCCATTCCCCACCCCCTAACACAATGCTTGGCACATAGGTGCTCAACACGAAATCAATGAATGGGCATTTGACCGAATGTTGAAGTACAAACAGGATTTGGAGAAGCAGACAAGACGGGAGGTATGTATTCCAGGCACGAGGCATCCTTTGTGAAAAGGTAGAAAGGCGTGAAGAAACATACGGAACGTTCCCACATCCACAAATACTAACATAGGGTTAAATCACTATGCAGGGAAGTGGCGGAATGAGGCTAAGTGGTCAACAAAAGCAGTGTAGATCGCACTTGAATTTTACCCTGTCCGCAAATGGATGCTTTCAAAGGGTTTCAAGACAGAGGACACGATCAGCTGGTTTTAGAAAGATCGTTCTACAGGCCTTCCCGATGAGGGCAAGTCGGGATGGGAGGCCGTTTAAGAGTTGGCTTTACCAGGCCAAGCCTGTGTCCTAAGGCAGGTGCACTGGAGAAGGAAGGGAGCAGCCACAGATGTGGCAGAGGGAGGTGAGAAGGGGCTACGGCCAGAGTCTGGAGCTGATGATACGTAAGTGCCATTGGTAAAGAATAAACGTCTCGAGAACAAGGATGGTTGGAAAGAAAGCAGGAAAGAAAGCCTTGGGAGCACAGGAGAGAGAACAGTGCAAGAAGGAAAAGGTCAGAAGGGTCAGGGCCATTAAGAGGCCAAGCGAGATATGGACTGAGTGCCCATGGATTTGGCCACCAGGAGGGCAGGACTTAAGAGCAGTTTCGGGTGGGAACAGACCCAGCCCCGAGCAGGGCATTCTCCAGGCTGATTTGAGGCTTGGGTTTCTCATGGGCTTTCTGGAGAAGGCCATTATCTGTCAACATGCTTCAGTCCAGGGTCCCCCCCAAGTCTGATCATGAAGATGCTCTGGTCCATGCGACACCCCCAGCTGCCTTCCTTCGAGAGGCAGTGAGAGGAGCCCAATGGAGTATCCAAAGTCCTGAGCCCCATTCCTGTCGCACCTTGTGGGATGAGCCTAAGACCTTGGTTTCTCCTGGAGCGATGGGTCCAGGTGGACTCTAATTGCCTCTGTTGATCTAGACTGCTCCCGTGCTCAAGTTCAAAGAGAGTGGCACAGGCAGCCAGGGCTCCGTGCCCTCTGACCTGGGTCCCCTTGTGGCCTCCACATAGAACTCTGGGTTTCTCCTGACCGAGTGCCCCATTGTGTGAGCTCAGTTTCAATGGGGAAAGAAACCGGGTTGAGCAAAAAGAACATTTACTTTTCCCACCAAGCTGATGCCCAAGTAAATAGTGTGGTCCCATCGGTGGAGCCCAGGCCCTACCCCCTTCCCTCCCTCCAAGTGCAGCCTGGATTATTTAAGAAGGCACCCCAGTTGAGCACACCTCACACGAGACCATCGGACCCAGAGACAGGCCAGCGCATCACTCACCAGCCTCCTGACCACCATGAAGCTCGCCATGACTCTTGCCCTGGTCACCCTGGCTCTCTGCTGTAGTCTTGGTGAGTGCCCAGAGCCCCTCTTCCCCAAGCCCGGCTCAGGAACCCTCGCTGCCACCCGGTTGTGCTCAGGAGAGGGGGCACCTATTTTACTGGAAGGCTGACTCCCAGCCAGGAGTCTTGGCCTGTGAACAAGCCCATCTTGGGAACTTGGGGAGCACCCTGAGCCTGTGGGGAAACCAGGAAAGGATCCCATCTTCTATATCCAACAACCTCAGAATTCCAGAGTCAGAACAGACTGGAGGCAGGGCTGGAGGAGATCCAGTATGGATGTGTGTTCAATGACCAACAGAATAGGAATAATGAGCTTCTCAGGGCCCAGTCTTGGAGAACCCCCAAGACGCCAAGAGACCTTGGTACAGTGAAGCCTTCAGGTTGGGGGTCTCCACACTACTCTGGGAGCCAAAGAGGCTAGAAAGAGCAATAGAGCCCCATGTCTCCAAAAGAAACCCAAGCAAAGGCAAGGTCTCCCATTCTGGGCAGAGAGGAATATTCTAGAAAGGGATCTTCCCTTTGGGAAACTGCCAACTCAGAGTGGAGTTTTCTAAACATTTTTGTCCTCCTCCAGAAGGATAAGGAGTCTCTGAATAGTTGCAGCTGTCACTAAGAGGAAAGGAATGAGAGAGAGGGAGAGACAGGGAAGAGGGAAGCAGGAAGGGAAGAAGGAAGGGAGGAAGGCGGATCCTACTTCTCTCGAAGCCCCCTGATCTTTTGGGAATTGAGTTACCTGTTTTTCACTCTGTATCAACCTCTTCTACTCCTTTTCATAAGCAAAGAAGCAAAAAGATTTTTATTTTTTAATTTTTTTAATGTTTATTTATTTTTGAGAGAGAGAAAGACAGAGTGTGAGTGGGGGAGAGGCAGAAAGAGAGGGAGAGACACAGAATCCGAAGCAGGCTCCAGGCCCTGAGCTGTCAGCACAAAGCTCGACATGGGGCTGGAACCCATGAACCATGAGATCATGACCTGAGCTGAAGTCAGACGTTTAACCAACTGAGGTACCCAGGCGCCGCCCGCTTTTCATTCTTACAATAATCCTACGAAATAGGGGTATGATTCCCATTTTACAGATGGAGAAATGGAGCCACACAAAGATAAAGATACTTGCCAGATGACACAGTAAGTTGCAAAGCAGGGCTCAAAGTTCTGGCGAGGGCTTGACTTAGAGCAGCCACTTGGGGGTGCCCGGATTCCAGGCGGGGAAGCCGAATTTGCACACAGGCAGAAAATTCAAGGACGGGGACTGAGACTCCATGGGAAGAAGGGCCAAGTAGGGCGTAGGAAACGGTGACTCTCCCCCACATTCCTGGGAGCAGGAGCCTAAAGGGGGAGCACAACTGGGGAGCATTCTGGGTGAAGGGAATATAGTGGGGCCAGGAAGGGAAGCAAGAGGCTTGTGGGCAGGTGAGTGCACACCACAGGGCCCAGCGCCTCTTCCAGGCCAAGTTCAGGGGCTTGCACTTGGCTAGAGCCTGACTCCGCCAGAGCCTGACTCTGCCACGCCCCTCCCCCTCCCAGGAGCAAGCAGCTGAGATCATCCCTCACCCTTGGTAAGAGGCACATTTCTGGTGGGACAACCGAAGCCCTCAGTAGCCTCTCCCCAGACCCCACGTTGCATAAAAGATCAGGTCAGCACCTCCTCCCATCAGCCCTCTGCCTAGAACTCGCAGAAGCAACACAGGGCACCCCGCCCCGCCCCAGCCCAGGAGGTGCCAGGAAGGCTCAGACAAGCCGCAGAAGGCTGCAACCCGGGAAGGACCCCCGCGGCGCCAAAGAGCCAACTCCTTGGAGCACCACCAGATCTCCCATTCAACGCATCCCTTCGACGAAAAGGCTGCTATCTCTTGCTGACAGGCCCGGCCACTTACATCTGGGGCTGGCCCGGCCAGGGGCCCTGCCAGCTTGGAAAAGGGCCCGGACACATGTGCTCTCTCTTTTCTGTGCTTCAGCTTCCGCAGAGGTCTGCCAGAGCTTTCTAAACGTCATGGAAACCCTCTTCACGGGCACGCTTTCCAGTTACGAGGCCGCCGTTGAACCTTTCTTGCCAGACGCGGACATGAAAGACGCGGGGATCCAGCTGAAGAGGCTGGTGGACACGCTTCCTCAGAAGGCCAAGGAGAGCATCTTAAAGCTCACGGTACCCAGCTTCCTTGACTCACGCAGTCTGAGAGCAGATCTCCCCCCTCGCTTGGGTGCAGCCTGGGCCCATTTTTTGGAGCCTTTTCTGACCCAGTGCAAATATCCCTGGGGAAGCAGGCTCAGTCACCTCCCCCTTTTCAAGAGGCTTCTGCGGGGACGCCTGGGTGGCTCAGTCAGTTAAGCGTCCGGCTCTTGATTTTGGCTCAGGTCCCGATCTCACCGTTCCTCAGATCACGGGAGCACGGAGCCTGCTTGGGATTCTCTCCCTGCCTCTCTCGCTCTCTCTCTGCCCTTTCCCTGCTCTCTCTCTCCCCGTCGCTTTCTCAAAATAAATAATCAAAACAATCAAAACGCTTACAAGCTCAGCTCTTCCCAGACCCACTGAACCTCTTCGTTGACATTGAAGTTCCTGCGTCTCGTCATCTTGGTCGACCTCTGAGATTCACTCGCCACTGTCTTGGGGGTTTTTTTTGTGTGTGTTTTAGGACAAAATCGTAAGAAGCCCACTGTGTGCTTAGGATTCAGAAGCTGAAGGTCTCCAGCCGCCGAAGTCCCTGCTGCTCCCCAGACGCTTCCCTCACTGTGTCCCCAGCCTGGCTCCCTTCAATAAAGCACAAGCATCTCACCTTTGTGTCCCAAACCCCCCCTCTTTTTTGTCCCCCTGCTCCAGTGGGAAGGTGTGTCGCTGCTAGGGCAAGGGTAGCAAGTGCAAAGGGACAAAGGGAAAGTCACTGGCTGTGCAAACATATCTCCAAGGAGCCCAGGAGTCTCACTTCCTGTTCCCCACACGCACCAGGCTCCTCACAGTTGGCAGGAGTGGGGACCGGCACACAGTCCCTTGCCGGGACAGAGAGCCACCAGGGCCCTGCTCAAACTTAACCCACGGTGGAAGAAGGGAGGGTCCAACGGGGTGGTGGCTGCCCTCAGAAAGACGCCCCAACCCGCGTCCATTTAGTGATGGAATCCAGTGCTCTGTTTCTTCCAGTCTCTTTGGAATCCTGCTCTTGGGTGAAAAAGTAAATAGTTAAGGTGATTATGCTACCCAGACATGCCTGCAAGTAAAGATGGCGCTTTCCAGAGAGTTCTGTCTCCTGTAGACAAATGGTGGACGTTTCAAGCATGCGGATAGAGCAGTTGGGATCTGTTAGGGGTTGGGTGGCCCTGTGTCAGAGGCGCCTCAAGTCACACACAGCACACAACCATGCGTGGAAGGAATCGGTTTCCTGTCAGACACTTAGGCAACAAAGGCCGGAGTGGGGAATAGGCTCAATTCCTCCATTAGGGACCCAGGGTGTTTGGGGTGCTTTCGAGAATGACGGACCCTGACTCCTCAGGGTCAGCAGTGGGTTTTACTTGGAGTCCCGAAAGATGGCGGGTTAGATTTTTTCTTCACTTCACATTTGTCAGATGAAATTATTTATCAAACTATTTTCTTTTTTGTTTTAATTCACATCCAAGTTAGCACATGGTGCAACACTGATTTCAGGAGTAGATTCCTTAGTGCCCCTCCCCCATTTAGCC